TTGCCCAGTTTGACACAGCTAGCAAGCGTTGTGTCTGTGGCTGGATTTGAACTCAGGTCCTCCTGACTCCAGGGTTGGTGCACTAACCACTGTATCACTTAACTGTACCCCCCATTACTTTTTTAAAAAACTTGATTCTACCATCCTCTCAAACTATCATCCTACTCCTCCTTTTCAAAACCAAACTTCTAGAGAAAAAAAAAACTATTTATACTACCTGTTTCCACTTTATACCACTCTCATTTCAAATCTCTTGAAATCAGGCTTCTAATTGCACACACACACACACACACACACACATACATGCACACAAATTGACTGAAAGTGTTCTAAGATCACTAATGATCTCAATGTTGCCAAATCCAATTATCTTTTCATCTCCTCATCCTAACTTCATTGCAGCAAAAAATTTTACACTGTAAGCCACCTCCCCCTTCTGTGTACTCTCTCCTCCTTGGTTTTCATGACACTTTTGACATCAAAAGGGTTCTCTTCCTTCCTGGCAAACCAATTATTCTCAGTCTATTTTATAGGCCCATCATCCATCACACCCATGTGTGAATGTACCTCAGGGCACTCTCTCTTTGCCCTTCTGAAAGAGGACCCTTTTCTATCTACACTCTCATCAACCACCAGGTCTCATAGATTCAATTATCATTTCTATACAAATGATTCACCTCGCTACATATCTAGCCTATATCTTTCTTCTGAATTCTAATATACATCTCCAACTGTCTGCTAGGTGGAGATCTCAACTCAGAGGCCCCCAAAGCATTTCAAACTCTTCTATGGTTCCTTTGTGGATAATTTGTGGAAATACATGGACAAAAATAGCACAGGATGAGAAGTTGTACAAAGGTTTTAAGCTGTACAATGGAAGGCAGTGCCCATAGCAATTACATAACAAATCTTTTAAAATATGAGTCTATACCTGACCTCAATCACTATGGCTATGCAAGTGTCAAGAAAGCCAGCAAGGATTCCTTCCAAATCAGAAAGTATTGGTCCTCACAGAATTTAGAGTGCAGTCTCTATGATGAAGCAAGTAGCAAAGATTTTTGTTAAGTTTTTACATTCATACAAATCAGTTTTCCCATTTTCAGTCATTCATTCAACAAATAATTATTATGCATTATAATTTCAAGGAACTGTATTTGGTACTATAAGGGATTAACAAATGAATAACACATACTCCCTCTCTTAAAGGAACTCCAGTCTAATACTGAGGATAAACAAGTACACAAATAACTATTTTATAAATTAGAATATTACAGGTTCTGTGAAAGAGGCACACAAAAGTTCTACAAGGCATGGAAAGATTGTGATTGAACTATCATTGCATTATCAAATGTAAAAGAGGGAGAGGATAGTTCCAAGAAGGGAGAGGTCACAATAAACTGGAGGAAGCAGGAAAAGCTTCTTCAAGGTGACATTTAAGATTTCACAAGTGATGATGAGGAGCGATAAGGTTTATAGTTAATACAAACAACAGGAACGTTGCTTGTAGGGAGATGCATGGAGTATGTTCAAAGAATAGAACAGTTTAGTTTGGTGAGACTTTAGGAATATATATGTATGTGTGTGTGTGTGTGTGTCTGTGTGTCTGTGTATGGAAGTCATTGAGATATGGGAGAAGTTAAAGATGAAAGATATTGAATTCCAAGCTAAAGAATTTAACTTCTTTTAGGAGATACTAGAGAACCCCTGAAGGCTTTAAACAGTGAAGTGACATAATCATATTGGTGATTTAGGAACATTATTCTGGCAGTTTTATGTGCAGCCTTGAATTGAGGGAAAGAGTTTGGAGTTAGACAGACATTGCAATATTGCCAAGTTAAAGGTGGCCTAATAAATTAAAAAAAAAAACTTTCAGTGTTACCAACTGGGTTTAGTCATATTTCCCAGAAACAGAAATTGATGTATCCTACCACTTTTATGCAAGAAAAATGATAGGGCTTAGTGACTTAATATCAAATCAATACTGACAAGATTTGATACTTCATTTGTACCTGTGCCATACCTTACCTCATCGTAATTAGAGATGGTCTCAAAAGGTAATTGAGAGGGGCAGCTAGGTGTTGCAGTGGATAGAGCACCAGACTTGAATTCAGGAGGACCTAAGTTCAAATTTGGCCTCAGACACATAATACTCACTAGCTGTGTGACTTTGGGCAAGTCACTTAACCCCAATTGACTCACTAAAAAAAAAAAGGTAATTGAGAGAAATAACTAGTTGGCCTCCTACTTTCAAAGGGGTCACTAGCAACAAATATCATAGAAGTGGATGTTTCATTTATAATTTTTTAAATAACAATTTGCTTTCTAAGCATTTGTCTTTGTGGGAATTTTTCTTTCACCTATTGGTAACTTAAAATGTCCTGAAATTTCCCTTGGGCTATTATCTTATTAATGGAGTTTTCCAACTATAACTCTACTTTTATCTTCAATAACCAAATATCTGTCAATGAAATAATCATTTACCTATTATGTTTAATGCACTATTTTGGTACTATGGGAGACAGAAAAATATGACATAGTTCTCACCTTCAAGGAATTTGCAATCTACTAAAAGAATTAAGATTAATATATCAATAAATATGATACAAAATGGAATTTTAGTAAAATAAGAGAAGCACACACAATGCATTGTAATAATTCTGATCAAGAAAAAAAATTGGGTGCTTGGAGATATTAGGGAAAGCTTCATGTAGAAGGTGAATTTTGTTTTTATACTTACTAACTTGTTTTATACTTATTAAACTTTTTCTTGAAAGATGGGCAGAATTTCAATAGATGAAGACTGGAAAAGAAGGATATTGTAAGCATAAGAAACAGTATAATAAAAGGGTAGAAATGTTGACATAGACCAGGAATAGTTTGTCTGGAGCTAGATAAGTAAAGGGGTATAATATGATGTAATGTTGCAGAAACCATCACGACACTTCTTAGCCATTTCCAAACCATATCATCTGCGTACTGGCCATCCTCCTTCTCCCCTTCCTACTGCAACCTGAACTTAGTCCCTAGACCCTTGGTTCTGATAAATGAGTTTCCACCTTATTTTATCCAGAACTAAGACACCATGCCACTTCCAAACCATACCCAACTCCCTTACCAATTTTCCTTTATGTGCTTTCTTGTTAGTTCTTTGAGGGAAGAGACTTTTGTTTTTGTTTCATATCATCCAAACTTATCACAATGCTTGGCACATAATCAATGCTTTAAAAAATTATTTTTCATTCATTAATTTGGAAGGAAACTGATACTAGATTGTGGAAGATCTTAGAGAGTATATCAAGCTGAGGAATTAGCCCCTAATGAGAAAAGTATGACCCATACAAACTCTATAAGAAATCATAGGAAACTTTGCAAACAGTACTACTACTAATAATAGATAACATTGACACAGCCTTTACCGTTTGTAAGGTTTATATGCATTATCCCATTTGCTCCTGATAACAACCCGGTGAAGTAAGGGCTACAGACATTACTATTCCCATTTTATAGATGAAGAAGTGAGTCCAAAAAAGGTTACATTATTTTCCCAGAGTCACACAGGTAACAAGTATCTGGAGCAATTTTTGAACTCTAGTCTTCTTGACCTTGAGTTCAGTAATCTTTCTCATAAAGAGAACATCAGTAGTTCAGACAAAAAGAAAAGGTCATTAATCACCTCTGTCAAATTAACTGATTTCCAAATCACAACTTCACTTTGTAATGTGAAGACAAAGACAAAGAGGGACAGTATGATGTGGTGGGAAATAGCTCTACACTTGGAATCAGTGGACTTGGGTTTACAATCTTCATTCATACTAGCTATGTTACTCTGAACAAGTCATTTACCCACTTTGAGTCTATTTCCTCATTTATCAAATGAGGATGTAATAATACTTGCATTACCTACTTTACAGTGTTTTATGAGAGGGTTATGTAAATCTTAAAAAGTGCTAGTGAAGAGTGAGACATTCCTAACAGTTCATAGTTATGATTTAATTACTTCTTTTCACCACTTCACCTTTTCCACTTGAAATGTGAATGAGTTTTAATAATAATTCTTATTATTATCATTATTTTAAAATTAGTGGATAGTCATGATTTGTATTTTTCTAATATTCTTGACCAGTGGAATAGTGGATACAGTGCCAGTCTTAGAATAAGGACGATCTGGGTTCAAGTCTAGCATCTTCGACATACTACCTGTGTGGTTGTGGGTTAGTCATTTAAGCTCTTGGTGACATAAACAACTAAGATAATAAGTTCAAGATGGAGTTTCCAATCAGTCAATAAACATTTATTAAGCACCTACAATGTGTCAGACACTGTGATAAATGCTGGGGAGTTCTCTAAACTATTGAAATCACAGGTCTAGACCAAATAATCACCCCCACAACAACAACAAAACTCCTGACCAACTTCCTTTTTTTTTTTAATAAAAAATGAGTACTTTTATCAAGTAATTTTATTTTGTATGTATTAGTGAATTTTAGCTGTGGTTTTTCAGCAGAGGAAACTCTAGAAGAAGAAAACCCAAGTTGTCTGAGCTTAGCCTTCAGGCGGGGTCTCCCACCACCTGATGATTCCAGCCACACCAAGCGCGCAGCTTTGCTTCATTGTGAAGAAAAGGAAGCAAACTGTAGGGGAGGAGAGAGACAGGAGGGAACAAGAGGCGGGGACACGAGGGGAGAGGGATGGATGGAAGGCAAGAGGAGGCGTGGCTGGGCTTGAGGCTGTCCTGATAAATTCAGAGAGCCGTGAGCTGAGAGTGCTGGAGAGAATCTGGATCACGGACAGAACGACTTGAGCAGCACCGTGGACAGCGCCCGGCAGTTCCAGGATCCAGTTCTCTTATAGCCACTTGCTCTTTGGCTCGCTCACTCACACACACACACACACACACACACACACACACACACACACACATTCCGTCTGTCATACACACGCGTTTGCTACACACATATACATATACATACACACTGGCACACCCAGATATCACAGATACTATGGCAGAGTCCCACTTGCAAGCATCCCTCATTACAGCCTCACAGTTTTTCGAGATCTGGCTCCATTTCGACGTTGATGGTGATTATCTTTTTTCTGTTAGTTTTTTACTGTCTCAAGTTGCTCCCCCGCCCCGTGATGTGCAGTTGTCTTTTCTCTAATTTCATTACCACCACTACTGGCTGTACAAACAGTCCAAAAGTTTGTGCGGTTTTTGTCGGAGGGGTGTATGGATGTGGTTGTTTTCATTTTTAATGTAATTGCAAAACTTTTGTCTTTACAAGATCTTTGCTAGGGCTGCGGGGGTGGGGGGGAGGAGAGGGAGAAACCTGCTCTGGAGAGATCCTTCATTTTAGGGAGTAGGTTGCTATGCTCTCTGAGAGCTCTGTGGTTGCCCTCAGCTACTCAATCCATTTTGCCCCCCTTGTGTGGATTAAAGTTTAAATGTCTTCTGCCTTAAACCTGAGAAATGCTCTGCTTGCCCTCAACTACCTTTAAGAGCTATAATTGTGCCCTGGTATCTCCGTTGCTTGTGAATGTAGGAACTGAAAATGTTCTTTCTGACCAGCACACTCCCGCACACACCACCCCACCTCCCGCCCTCACTCACACAAAATTAACCCGAGAGTTGAAGGAAAAAACTCAGGAGTACCAGTCAAATGTCTTTGTTGTTTGCAGGAAGTGGTTACCTGGAAGGTAAGGAGCTACAGAACTTGATCCAGGAGCTGCAGCAGGCGCGGAAGAAGGCTGGATTGGTAGGTTCGGTTCTTTAAGGTCTGGGGGTTGTTTTTGTCGTGTAGGTTATTTTTTCCTTCGTCTATTTAAAAGTCCGTGCCATTTCTTTAAAAAAAAAATTACTTTCGCCACGGTGAAAAAAATGCATCTGCACGTTCTTCTGAAAGATAAGTGGCAGTAACTTATTTTTCAACTAATTTACATTTAAAGGTTTCTTCACTATTTGAAAACAGGATGTTTTCCAAATACCTTTTTAAAAAAAGTAATTTCGTAGAAGATAAAAAGCTACTAGCTGAAATGTAGGTGCTTTAAAATCATGTAGTTTGAACTTGTGATATAAAAGCCTCAAGGGTCAGAGCTGCTGGTCTCTGATCCTTTCTGCACATCAGTACCTGCAACACGGAGTTAGCTAGTTGAGTTTATCTTTAACTCTGCTTTCTTAGTGGAAAGTGAAGGGGGCAGAAATCTATTTCTGCCCCTTGGTGGTCAGAAAATAGATCTGCAGGTTTTCTATGTGGCAAAAGGTACTGTTTCTTGTGTTGGAAGGAGAAAAAGGTGGGGGGAGGGACATGGTCCTCAACCATCGTCAGGAGGAAAAACTGAGCAATAAGCACCTCAACCTGCAGTAAAAAAAATTTAGTTTGAAAAGGTCTTCATATCTCTTCGTAATAGAGTAATCCAAAAGTTAAAACTGTGAGACATGAGATGGTTATAAGAATCAGAAAGTGGCATTATGATTGTTGGTATCAATAATAGCATTTAGAAAATCACCAGTGAAGGTTCATGCTTAAAACAAGTTATTAAACAAATGAGGAATTATTTCTGTTACCTAGACAACACTAGAAGGAGAGACGGGGGCACAACCAGAATGCAACTAGAATATGCCCTCCCGTGTAAAGAAATGTTCTTAAATATAGAGGAGGTAGTTATGTAAAGAAAAAATAGGTTATACATTTCACTAATATATTGGGATTTATATAAGGCTGCATTTCAGTAGGAAAAGCTATTTGAGATAATTAATTTACATTTATATATGAATGACTCTTTCCAATTTCAACATGGCTTTTTATCTCCAATCCCTACTTCCTAACTGCAAATTTATGACATAAATCTACATACGACATGTATTACTTTACAACAGTCCCTTGGAGGTAAAATGAATGATGATTGTGGAAGTCATTGGTCAACTCTGTTTGAAACCAAATAATGCTATAAGGACTACATTGTCCAGATATAATGTTAATCAAAACTTGAAGATAAAACATTTTTTTCTCTTTTACATCTTTGTTATCCTGCAAAAAAAAAGGAAAAAAAAACTTGATAAATTATCATGTGAATAAATCCATCAAAATGCTTCCATTGCAACTCAGTATATCTTTGCCATTTATCTCTACAGTAATGAAAATTATTCTGTTCCTCTTTTAAAAAAAAATACTTAAAGATAACCAGCTGTTAAAAATCCATTTTTCTATTACATCTAAGAATGAGAACATTTGAGTCGATTATGCAAAAGATTGATGTCCTTAAATATGCATATAAATAAATCTGCAGTTTTTACAAAGAAACCATATTTTCTAGAAACAAAGTTAATGCTTTAAAGCTCATTTTGCCTCCTGGAAATTCAAATATTCACCAAGTACTATAAAAAATACTTGCAGATTATTCTTGTTTCCCTCCCACTACAACATTTATATCTTTTTATAGGTTGTTCCTGTATACTACGTTACATTTCACAAGTGGTTAGTGCTTATTTTTCCCCAACTATGTTTCTGGAATATTCTAACTAAAGCAACCAATCCCACAATAATAAACTTGGGTACTGTCAAAGGATCATCTAAAGTTGCCAGATAACTTGATCCCTGGGCTTTTTTCTGGACTATTGATGTATGTTATTAGAGATTTCAGATCTAAATAATTTTTCTAGATCTGGAAGCTCACATTCATCATAGGGCTACCTGACATATCTTGCCTCATTGAATTTTACTTTTTAAAATTTCATGTCTTTTTCCAAGATGGAAAGACTGGATGACTAAACCTAAAAACTAGAGTCCATTATCAATCCTGCTTTAGGACATAAAAGGTCACTGAGTCTGAAAACAGGCTTTTCATAATACTCATGAACTCTTAGGTGTTTTATTTGTATTAAATATGGCCTACAGTCAAATATAATAGCAAAGTAAATGTCTTAAGTTTAGTATTTAAGTATAGAGTTTTTTTAGTATTGTGTATAGAGTTTTAATAGAATTTATTATTCAGTTATAATGATAAAGTTTCAGTGTGTTATTGCCCTGTACTGTACACTCTACAAAACATTTATTTGACTATAATCCTTGTCCATGGAGTTCACGTTCGTAATTACAAATCTGTTGCTAAAAATCATTGGTTCCTAATTCTGTTTTCCCAAATGCTAATTTAACATCTACCGCTCTGGGGAAATTAAATTTGCAAATTAGATTCTATCAAAAATTAAGAGTTCTATATTGATAGTATTCCCACTCTGCGAGCTTTCTCATTTAATTTTTGACATTTTTATCTTTAATGTAAATTTAAATAATGTCAAATTGTTTCTTATTGATAGTCTATGAAGCTGAAATGATGTATTTGGTTTCAAATTGCTTTGTTAACTTACTTCTACTAAAAGAGATATACACTGGATCAAAATTGACTTTGTGATACTACCAACTCAATAATAATGATTAGCCTCAATATAGAACTTTTAAAATTATATTAACTTATTGGTTTTCCCATCAATCTGGGTAAAAGGTAAACCATGCCACATTTGTCTCATTTATCAGAAAACTGAGGCCTAATTGATTTTCCCAAGGCCACAGAGTTAGATATTAGTACATAGTGGCCTATTTAAAGTGGGCTTCAGTTAGGGAAATAAGGCTTATTTGGCTCTAGTTAACCACATAAGTGGGCCATGTTATAGAACAACGTTTACAAAGTCAGCTTCTTAGCTTCTAGCCTATATTCTGACTGTAAGAAAACTGTGTGGCACTGGAAAGCTAATACGACTTACATTACAGATGGAAAGACCAAACCAAAGCATGACCAAACAAATTAGCTTTATTATTCCTAAACCAACTGATAGGATTACAGATTTAAATTTAGAGCTGCAAGAGACTTTAGAGATCAGCTACTCAAACTCCCCTCATTTTGCAGATAAGGAAACCAAGGTTCAGGTCATTTGCCCAAGATCACATATGGAGGAAATGGCAGAATCAAGATTTAAACCCAGGCCCTCTGACTACAAATCCAACCCTGCTCTATGCTCATCTTTATTAACATACATAAAATAGAGAATTTTGTAGCGAGATAAGTTGAAAACAAATGAAAATTGGAAAATACTTCTTGAAGTTGATGTTGCTAGGCAAAGCTCTGAAAGCTAAATGTTATCAGCAAGTTGAAAAAAGTTGCCCCAGATCTCGGCTGTGGTCTGTCTCAGATGAGCTTAGCCGTTAAGTATTTTTGGTTCAGGTATATATTCCTCTTATATAAAAATAAGTAATCTACCTCTATGATTTTCTCCTTGCTACAAACATTCCTAACTTTTTTTCAAAGAAGGATTTTCTTTAACTTCCTAACTTCTAATTTCTCCCAAGTTTAAAAAAAATTATTAATGATATCAACATTTTAAATAAACTAATACATTTATATCTAATAAATAAGCTGAAAAGATTACATAGTGGAGTTGAAGGTAGATGTATTCAAAGCAGAGTAAGTCATACAAATATCATAGAGATTAAATCTGGACGAAATCTTAATCATCATTTTGTCCAAACCCTTAATTTTAGAGCTAAAAAGATTGAGACCCAAAAAGATTAAGTGATTTACCCAGGGTTACACAGGTAACAAATAGCAAAATCAGGATTCAAAACTTCTGGTTCCAAATAATCCTGAATATGCATTGTCTCTAAGCACATTACTAATATATATTTTCTATTTAAATGTGCTGAATAGCTTAGAATAGGTAGTGTAGTGGTGGAAAGAATGTTGGACTTCAAACCAGTTAGAGACATGAGTTCAATTCTTACCTCTGGCAATTATTGTTTGTGTAACCATGGACAAGTCACTCCATTCAGATTCCATGCCTGTAAAAGAATATAATTATATCTGAAGTTGAGTTGTTGTGAAGATCAAGTAAAGATGGCATATGAAAAACACTTTGTAAAACTTAAAGTGCTATATAAAATGTCAGCTAGTGTTGGAATCAATATTTCTAAATTCTCAAAACTAAGAATGGTAGAGAAATCTGAGAAACGTATTTGAAAGTGGCAATCATAACTGTAACCTTTTCTGTTTGTTTGTTTATTTGGACTTTTGTTTTTATCAGCGTGGGGAAATCCCTACATTAGTGCAGATTGCTAATTCATTTGTAACTTACTATTTGAGAAAGTTGCCTCCAGCCATGAGGTTAAATGAATTTACCAAGTTACACTTTTGAATCACTTGATTATAGCCAGTATATGTCAGGACTTGAGCCCAGGTATTCCTGATTCCAAGGCCAGCCTTCTATCAAACATATCATACTGCTCTCCCATTTTATCTTTGAAATCTGTAATAATTCTACATCAACCCAGTGTCTTCTACTTCCAAGAGCATATTCAATAAAGCATATACTAAATACTATTAATTTTAGGTATTTTGTGGCATATCATGAACCTTAAAGCATAAAGTAGTTGTGACTTTCTAATAAATAACTGATCATTTTGACCATTTTTAGGATTTGTCACCTGAAATGAAAACTTTTGTGGATCAATATGGGCAGAGTGATGATGGGAAAATAGGAATGGTAGAGGTAAGCTAACTTCTTTATCTGTTAATTTTTCTGAAAGATAGTTATAACAAATGTATTTCATTAGATACTCAAGATTGTCAAAAACAGTGTTTGGTAATCCTCCTCCATGCTATTACACCACAATGAGTGAATTAACTTTTCCTTTAAAATAAAATACCTACTGAAAATAACAAACTTGGAATCAGAATTAGAAGGAGATTATGCAGTTTCCTTAGTTCAACTCTTTCTTTTTAGAAATGAAGAGTGACTCAAATAGGTTTCATATATTTCAAATAACTAGTTTGTAGATCTTACATTATGATTCAAGTCTCTTGACCCCCTAATCCAGTGATCTTCCCATTAAACCATGCTGCCTTTTTTAATCCTTCATCTCCAATAAGAACTCATGTATAGATTTCAATTCTTTCTTCCTGGCATTAAATATGACAGACTTTTCCCTGCTACAAAGAGAAAACCTTCTTATACATTGTCTGTAACAATGTCATTATGGAGGGCTGTGCCCTGGCTTCTAGAATTCAGGCAGTTGACCTGACTCCAGGAAGGAAAGAGGTACCTTTTGTCAACTATTTGAATTTTTTATGATTTCAAGTGGCAACAGTTTCTATAGAATTTCTAAAAAATTTAAATTGTGAGCAGCAAATCTTACCTTCTGACAAGGACTTTTCTTATTGAGTGTGACTTTCTTTTGACAGTAAATGAGAACAAGACTTTGAAACCTCCTTTGACTTCTTGGATTTAGGCAGCAGGCTTTTATTTTCTCTCTTCTTTGCCAGATTGTTATCCTATTTTTCTTGTCTCTTTCATGGCTCTTGAAGAAATTCAGGGCATGATTTCTCATCCAAGGGACAGACTTTAAGCGGTTCCTGTGAAACATAAGCATAGATACATTTTTCTTATTTTTTAACTTTAAGTTCACATAGTCATTAGACTGAGAAATATGCTGGCTTGGAAGAATACTTAATAAGGGTACACCTTTGACTCAGTAGGTTGAAATAGCTTTAGAGAGATCAATCACATATGAAATACATTTTTTTAAAAAAAGGAAATCACCATAAATAGAAAGTAGGTACAGAATACTATTATTATCAACGCTGTAATTAAATTTTTCCCCAAGGCATATGCTTCTCTTTATGCCCACATGTAACTCATTACTAGATGAACAGATAAATTAATAGTAATGGGACTTACATTGACATTGAGGCCAACTAATCTGGAAATGAAATGATCTCAGATAAGAAATTACTTTAAAATGAACATAAATGAGATGGGTAAAATTGAATCATTCAAAATTAGCTGGAAATCCTGAAATTAGGAAAACTATAGATGTGGCTATTTCAGAGTTTGACATACTTTATAATTCTAAAAGAGGAAGAAAGCCTGTCATGTTACACTTAAAATATTCCATCCTGAAGAATTCCAGGATTCTGAGTTATTATTTCTATCATCAGCTTAGTCAGTGGCATTAGGTTGAGGAAAATATGTAAAAATTATTTTCTTGATTCCCCTAGATTATATGTACACAAACACACGTATGTATTTCCTATGTTATCATATATATGTGTAGTGTGTGTGTGTAAAGTAACAAGCTAGATAGGCCTGTATGGAGACAAGGTTTCAAATGTTTAATCTGATACATTGGTTGTATTCCCTGATATTTAGCTTATTTACAGAATGGTTTAGAGTTTATATTGAGTGAATGGCAAGAGTCGCTTGGCAGGTGTGTCAGGCATTGCATGGAAGAAGGTACAGTAACTAGAGAACGGAGTCATTAGAACAAAGATAAAAATTACCTGTCTGTAGAAAGAGAACAGAAGCAGAGAAGTGAAGGAAGTTAGTATCTTTGGCAGCCAGGTGATGAGGTGTCAAAATTCTTGCCTCAGTTATCTGTATGTTATCTGTATTGTTACAGTGTTATCTGTATGACACTAAGCAGGTCACCTAGTTTTTCTCAGTCTCAATTTTCTTATCTGTAAAATGGGGTTGATAATAGAACCTACCTCTCAGAGTTTTTGAGAGGATCAAAGGAGATAACACATGTGGTAAATACTAGATATTACTATTAGGGCAGCTAGGTGGTGCAGTGGATAGAGCACAGGCTCTCGAGTCAGAAGGACCTGCGTTCAAATCTGGCCTCAGAGACTTACTAGCTGTGCGACCCTGGGCAAGTCACTTGACCCCGTTTGTCTCAGTTTCTTCACCTGTAAAATGAGATGGAGAAGGAAATGTCAAAGCACTCCAGTATCTTTGCCAAGAAAATCCCACGTGGTGTCACAGAGAGTCTGACATGACTAAAACAACAACAAAAATTATTATTATTAATGTAAGCAGATTTTGACCAGTTCAGGGCTTGGCAACCAATAACATTTTAAATATAAAATTTCAGGTTTCCTGACCCTTAATATGGTATATGCTTTTTATTCCACTCTGCAGGATGTTGTTTGTTTTAAAACCTCCCTTCTCAATGAAACCTTATTATACCACAATTCTAATATGCTAGTAATTTATTTTATTAAAGCTCTTTTAACTATAATAAGGTGCTTTATAAAATAGGGACTTGATCTGAGCTTTGAAGCCAGTATTTGAATAGGTAGAAGAGGATGGGAAAGAGGAAAGGGGATGACAGATCTGCTAAAATGTGTGAAAAGGGGGAAGGGGAAAAGAATAAGCATTTATATAATTCTTATTGTGTGCCAGTCTCTGTGCTAAATGCTTTACACATATTTTTCTCATTTGATCTTCACAACAACCCTGCAGAGTAGGTGCTATTATCCCCATTTTACAGTTGAAGAAAATGAGGCAAACAGATTAAGTTTAAGATTGAGAGATTAAGACTTGCCCAGGGTCATAATAGTTAGTATCAAAGGCTAAATTTGAACTCAGGTCTTCCTGACTCCAGATCCAGTCCTCTATATAATGTTGGAAGAATAGTGAAGAGGCCTGCATAACTTTTAATAGAGAGCGTTGTTAGGAAGTTACAAGAAATGTTAAGGTTGAAAAGAAAAGGTAAGATTTTAGAGCATCTTAAATGTCAAAATGGAGAGTTTAGCTTTTGTCCTGCAGAAATTAAGCCATTTAAGGTTTGTAATCAAAGGAATGCCATCAAATTATAGAATTTAGACCTGAAAGGGACCTTAAAGAATATTCTACCCTAATCTCTTCATTTTACAGATGAGGAAATTAAAACAAAAGGAGGCTAAATGATTTTCCCAAGGTCACAGAGCTGGATACTAGGAGCAACTGAGTTAAAACCCAGGTTTCCTGACTCTTGGTAGTATTTTTTCCCACTACAACTTTGTGGAAGTATAATTTTTAAAAACTAGTGTGGTAGTAAGGTAAGGATAGTTTGGAGGACAAGAGACCAGAGTCAGAAAGAATAATTAGAGGATTTGCCGTAGTCTAGGGAAGAGGTGGTGAAGACCTGGTGGAGGATGGAGTTAGAGTGAGTAGAGAAGAAAAGAAGGAGTAGAGTTGGAAGGAAGAATTGCAAGTTTGGGTACAGATCGGATATAGAGAGGAAGGAAAAGAAAAGAGTAAATAGAGTTATAAAGCGAGGATAACTTCAAGTACCATAGAAAAGTTTTAGTGAGGAGTTTGAGAGTTTAGAAGTAAGACTTTACCTTCAACCTGATATAGGATAAGAGTCAAGCTTAGAAGGAAGATAAATGTATATAATATATATAATGTCTATAGACTATATATAAGTATATATTATAGAGAAAGGGGGGAAGGATGAGAGAGAAAAAAAGAGAAAGAGAGAGAAAGAGAGAACTCATATATTCAAAAATCAAGTAGAATCCTGTAGACACCCTCCTCCCTAGCTCCCACCCTGGGAAACATGGGGAAACAGAGATTCTTGATCTTATAATGAACCCCATGTTTTCCCCCAAATCATGATAAGCTATCTAATTATGTTCAGTATAGCATTACTTTGATGTTTCAATAGAAATGTGGAAACTAAATCTGACAATATTTAATGCTCATTTGGAACTAGTATTTAAGTGTTCATCCAGAAGTCAAAGTAAACTGAATAATCATTATCCTGTTTGCATTAGAGGTGGGAAGGGCTGAATCATTCAGGCTAGAATTTTACCATTCAAAACTGGCAAAGCTCTATCAAAGGAAAGGAGGCAGTGTGGCCCAATGGACAAAGCACTGGCTCTGGAGTCGTAGGGCTTTGGTTTGAATCCTACCTGTGAGGCTTACTATCTATACAACCTTCAGACTTCATTAATTTTTAGTTGCATCCAACTCCTTGTGATACCATTTGGGTTTTCTTGGCAAAGATACTAGAGTAGTTTGCCATTTCCTTCTCCAGAGGAGGAAACTGAAGCAAACAGGGTTAAATGACTTGCCCAAGGTCACATAGCTAGTAAATATCTGAGGCCAGATTTGAACTCAGGAAGAGGAATCTTCCTGATTCTGCACTGGGCACTGTGTGCACTATCACACCACTTAGCTGTTCCACAATACAACCTTGGGCAAGCCATTTTACCTCCATTGAGCCTTAGTTTCCTTACTGGTAAAGCAGGACTGTTAGACTAGATGGTCTGAGGTCCTTTCCTCCAGTAGACCTATAACTGACATATTTGCATAAATTAAAAGGCATTTATTAAGCACCTACTATTTGTCAGACTCTGACCCAGGCATTGGGCATATAAAGACAAAATAGTCCCTCCCTTCAAGGAGATTACATTCTATTGGTGGAGACAACACACACACACTCACACACACACACACACACACACACACAAATAATAAGTACATGAAAAGTAAATACAAGATCATTTCAGGAGGGAGGCAGCAGCAGCTGAGGGGATCAGAAAAGGCTTCATGTAGGAGAGTTAGCATTTAAGCTGAGCTCTCTAGGACTTTAGGAAATCTAAGGGGCAGAGGAAAGGAAGGAGTACATTCCAGGCATGGAGGACAGAAAATATACTGCATAGAAATGTAACCAGAGAGGATACAACATATGCAAATGTTTTAACCCAAATACTTTTTTA